CTGAGTTTTCATCATTTGTCTGTATTAAATACTGAGGTATAACAAGTGATAATCCACAGTTACTATGAAATGAATATTCACTTTTTTTAATGCACAGCGTCTGTAGGCAATTCACTGGACTTTCTAAGGCTCTCAGCTATAAGGAATTGTTATTCACTCCATGAAAATGTTGAATAAAGTAAAGTCACCTCCTAAGATATTTATAGAAGAAGAATTTAAGGAAATTGTGGAAATAAGTTCCATAAAACGATGGAAATATTTGCCACCATAACACCAACAAAGCAATGTTTAGACGACATTCTCTATTCATTGATTTTTTTTCTTCCCTATGTTTATATCAAAATGAAGATTGTTGTTTTTGAGACAGGGTCTCGCTGTGTCACCCAGGCCGGAGTGCAGTGGCACCATCTCGGCTCAACTGCAACCTCCACCTCCTGAGTTCAAACTATTCCCCTGCTCAGCCTCCCGAGTAGCTGGGACTACAGTCATGTGCCATAACGCCTGGCCTAATTTTTATATTTTTAGTAGAGATGGGGTTTTCACCATATTGGCCAGGCTGGTCTTGAACTCCTGGCCTCAAGTGATCCACCCACCTCGGCCTCCCAAAGTGTGGGATTACAGGCGTGAGCCACCACGCCCAGGCCAGATTGGTTGTATTTGATTACCCAAAATAGATCTACAGATGCTCCTGAATTTACCATGGGCTTATGTCCCAATAAACCTATTTAAATTGGAAATATCATAAGTCGAAAATGCATTTAATATATGTAACCTACCAAACATCATTGCTTAGCCTAGCCTACCTTAAACACGCTCAGAACATTTGCATTAGCCTATAGCTGCTGGGCAAAACCATTTAACACAAAGTATCTTTTATAAAAAAGTATTGAATATTTTGTAATTTTTTGAATGCCATACTCAAAGAAAAACAGGATGGTTTTATGGATACTCATTGCTATTGTACACAGCTGAAGGCATCATCATAAAGTCAAAAAATCGAACCATCATAAACTGGAGACCATCTATATTGTGTTAAGATGAGAATGGCCAAATGTCTGCAGTCAGTATACCTACCGGTTATGTTCAAAAGGCATAAATGGTCAATACTTTTCACATTCGAATTATTTTCAAAATTGTTCAGTCCAGCATATTCTTTTTTTTTTTTTTTTTTTTTTTTTTTAGACGGAATTTCGCTCTGTTGCCCAGGCTGGAGTGCAGTGGCACGATCTCTGCTCACTGCAAGCTCCGCCTGCCGGGTTCACGCCATTCTCCTGCCTCAGCCTCCCGAGTAGCTGGGACTACAGGTGCCCGACACCACGCCCGGCTAATTTTTTGTATTTTTTAGTGAGGCGGGGTTTCACCGTGTTAGCCAGGATGGTCTTGATCTCCTGACCTCATGATCCGCCCACCTCAGTCTCCCAAAGTGCTGGGATTACAGGGGTGAGCCACCGCGCCCGGCCCAGTCCAGCATATTGTAACATAAATATTCAAAAGTTGAACAACAACAGGCTTCCTTTTGTCCAATTTTTATATATGCAAACTTTTTAGTAGCCCTGATTTTCAACAAGCTGATTTTGTACATGGCATCACCATAAGGCCACTTGACTTAATACATTTTTGAATTCCCACTCATTCCCTCTCGCCTTTTTCTTTTGAGCTTTTCCTCCCTTTACATTCACCATTTTTAGTTCAGGAGCAGCTTGTGTGGGGGTCAAATGAATGATGTGAAAGGTGGCAGGCTAAACAGGAGTAGGAAATTAGGGAAGCAATTTATATTCTAGACAGTTTCGGGAGTTTTTATTGGAACTACAGCAATGAAAATACCAACACAATAATAACCAATATTTGCATGCCAGCTTCCAGTTTACAAAACATTTTCATGTCCTCCACTTCCCTGAGTCTCGTAGCAGCCCTGAAAGTTTGCCCCTGTGTATTTAATGTTGCTTTGTAACTTTTATTGGATCATTGTATGCAGTTGTCAATTTCTTGAGGGCAGAAACTATGTCTTGTAGTTCATGAACATGCACATATATATACACCATACAGAAACAAACATTATTAAACCGAGTGCCAAGTGGTTAAGAGATTCAAGTAGCAGATTTGCTGGGTCTAATAATCAAACAACTATTCCCACTGTCAAGGAGACCAATGACACCATCAGAGAGGACTATAAGAAAATCCACCGCAGATGGGCCAACAGGAGGGGCCTGAACACAGGAAGACCAGGGAGAGAACACCTAGGAATCCCCCTAAGAGTGTGTAATCCTGAGCCCTTCACATCTTGTGCATGAAAATCATTATTTTTAATGACTAAATTGCTTTCCGTGGTATCTATATCTCCAATTTTTTTCCGTTGAAGTACTTTCATCCTATTACAAATTTTTGGTAGTATAAGCAATGCAAATGTATAAGCATCAAGTAAAACATAATGGTTATATCCTAGTACTTATTCCCAATTTTGTTTATTTGAATTTTCTCATTTTAGATTTGTTAGATATTGATATTATTAAACTTTCCAAGAAAAAATGTTAGTCATATTTATCAATTCTATTCTTTTCCCATTTTCTAAATATTTTTCTACTTTTATCTTTCTTATATACCTATTCCTCATTTCTCTTGATTGAGTTTTCTTTTACTACCTTTTTTGTAGCAATGTGGGGGGGGCGGTCTCACTATATCACCCAGGCTAGTCTCGAACTCCTGGCCTCAAGCAGTTTTCTCACCTCTGCCTCCCAAAGTGCTGGGATTACAGGCATGAGCCACCTCGCTGGGCCTTTTTCTACCTTTTTACATTGAAAGTTTAGTTCTTTTCAATCATTCTAATTTAATAAAAACATCTAAAGCTATAAAATTTTCCCATGTATATGGCTTTAGTTGTATTTCATAGATTTTGATATGCAATCTTGTCATCGTTATTTTTCTATAATCTATATTTTCTGTTTTTATTCCTTCTTTGAGCCTAAGTGTTTAGAATTTTATTTTAAAACTTACCTATGCTTACATGTTTTTGTCTTTTTGTCATTATTTTCCAGTTGGATTCCACTGTGATCACAAATGATTGTTTAAAGGGGAAAACAAGGAGAAAATTTGAGAAACCTGGAACAAAGTGGGAAAAAATGTAAGCATGAGACAGAGCATTAAAGAGTTAAGAAAATAGTGAAAACAAGGCATGAATGAGAAGAAGTGAAAGGACCCAAGGGGCTGGACAGAGCAAAGGACTGGGTTGGTCAGTATGGGCTTGACAGCAGGGTCGGATTGTTGAGTAGGACACATGATATGAGGCAGTGTTAGGAGTCCAGAAAGATGTGGGGAGGGAGGGACACAAGGGTACTGGAAGAAATGAAAGAGAATCCTCAGGGAAAACCCAGCAGCTCCTTGGTTGCGAGGGCCAAGAAATGTCTTTCTAGATCTACTCTTGGTTCTACTCTAATGGCTCAAGTGTTAAACTTAATAACATCTTTTTCCTTTTCATTTATTGGGTGAATTTAATTATTTTGCTATTTTCTATTAAATAGGAGGAATGGATTTTAACATTGAAATGTGCCAGGAGCCCAGGAACTGTTCCACTCATGCTATTTTCTTCATTCAACATTCATTTCTGACTTCCTATTATGAACACTGCTATGTCATATGATAAATACAAAGAGTCAACTTCCAAACATCTCACTTATTTACAGCCCATACATGTATGCCAGTTCCCTTGTTGCTGAGCAGAAAGCAGCTACTCCCACCTGAGAAAGAGTAAATAGCCAAGGTAGCAGTTACTTCTGAACCAGAAGAAAATTCCATAAACCCACCATCTACCTGCAATACCACACTTGCCTGGAGAGTAGGGGAGGAGCTGCATATCCTGAGCCACTCATTAGCCCTTTCTTTCAATGGGGTGTTTAATTAATTAAGCTGCCCAGAAATGTCATGGCATTCAAAGTCTCCAGAGTGGTCCTGGCACATAGTACTTAGCAGCCAGGTCACTAGAGCCAGGCTGCCTGAGTTTGAATCCTGACTCTATGGCTAGAGTATGATCTTGGGCAAGTTTCTTATACTCCCCATGCGTCGGTTTTGTTTTGTTTTGTTTTTTGACCTCTAAGTGGGGGTTGTAATAGTACCTGCCTTGTTAGTTTTTGTTTTGTTTTGTTTTGTTTTGTTTTTGGAGAGTAAATGAACCCATAGTTTAGAAGAGTGCCTGGTACAAAGTAAGCACTCAATGTAAATCTTCTTCTTGTTATTCCAGAATGGAGGCGTCCTTACCAATGCCCAGTCACAGACAGTGCTGGCCCCACAGAGAGAATGCAGCTACCCGAGAGAACACAGATAGAGGTGCTCAAGTTAGAGAGAGCTGCAGCATCACTCAGTCATTTGCATCAGAAAGTAAAGCAGCTGTTCAAAAATTTGCAAAGCAAATTGGAGGGAAGCCAAGACTTTCATAGAAATTAGTTGATGGAGATTTCCTACATGGAGACTTTTTCTTCAGCAAGTACATAAACTGCAGCACAGACCTGTCTGCGATGAGCATTAAGAGCCCTGAAATAAAGTATGGGGCTCAACAGGGACTCTGAACAATGTGGACCACCCAGAAGAGGGAGTCCAGGAAGAATGCAGACTGTTCTCTCAGCCACAATGCTGAGGTTTAAAACGTATTAGTTCTTTAATGAGGAAGAACAAGAAATTGAGGGCAAAACACTCTGAAATCTTTAGTTATAAAGGCTCCATTACAGTATGGCTTTAGTTATTCTTTTTTAAAAATCCTCGTGCTCTTTATAAAGTCATAGTGAAATCAGTCTGGTGCTTGACATTGAAGAAACAGTGACCCAGACTTGGACAGACCCTGCCCTCATGGAGTTTACGATCCAATAGGAGAGACTGACATTATACAAGTAATCACACAAATGTCATTGCAAGATTTGATAAGTGTGTAGAAGAAAAAGAAGGGGTCAGTGAGGACAATGTCAGAGGACTTTTGGATTTAGGAGTCAGAGACAAGTTCTTTGAGAGAGCGACAGTAATGCCGTGCCCTGAAGGATCAGGGGGTATTCGCCAGGAGAAGAGCTGCAGTAGACAATACCTGGAACAGCATGCTGAGGCTTAGGGATGGGAACTGTGGGGTGTGGTCCAGGGACTGGGAGAGGCCTATACTTGGAGCATCCTCAGTGAGATGGAGAGCTGGGGTGGTGGGGACACTGTGGGATATAAGGGAAGAGCTGGACCCCCAAGGATTGTGTGGGCAACGTTAGCATCTTCATTTTTTCCCAAACACAGGGTAAGTCATGGAAGGGATTTAGGCACACAAGCGACATATTCCAATTTATATTTTTAACGGATCATCCCAATTGCAGTGTGGAAAACGAGTCTGTGGGTCTAGAAAGGAAAAGAGAAGTCTATCAGGGAGGCTTTCAGCCTGGCCATCAGAGTCAAGGTCATGGCGAACACAACCAAATACAGAGACCCCTTTGCTAATACTAGATCCTGAAAAGGTCATGTCTGTCTTGGAGAGGGGGACTCCCCATTCTACAAAATGGCACCAAAACCACAGACGAGATCACTGATGTAAAGTTCCTCAAGCAATAAAACATTTTTTGGATTACATTTTGTTTAATCAAAAAGTATCAAGAATGCGATTTAGCCATTATGAAGTTTGTGAAAAGAATGAGTGGGTTTGACCCACTGAAATAAGTAGCTAGGAATGTGATGCTGGAGGCTGAGGGGCCCCCTGAATTCAGGACAGTGGAGCAATAGATAGAGGAATTAGGGAGACAGCAAATCACTGCAGCAATGTTATTGAAAGTAATATTGATGATTTTGACTTCTGCTGGCAAAGAATGCTCCAAATATTTCACTGCTGAGTTCAGCTTTCCATGACTGTAGTCAGCCCTGTTGCCCTCGGAGGCAGTGCAGGATCTGGCCCAATCAAAGGACAAGACAGAGGTAGGGTTGTGACCTTCTTGGGTCCTCAGCGCTTTTGACTTTGTGGGCCCCTTCCTCTATAAACACAATATTATGGATACTAAGTAGGTCTGCTAAAACACACAAATTTTACTACTGCATTGGTTTTTTATATATATATATATATAAAAAATATATGTATAACCATATATATGATATACATTATATATATATCTCACCCAGGCTAGTGAGATATATATTGTTTTCTTCTGATTTTAGGAGAAAATCTAAATTTGTGGGCCCTGAAAGTTGATATGTCAGCCCTGCAGAGGGCAGACTCCAGGAATCACAGGCAGGTGAGTCCCCAGGGAGGAGAGGGGGATTTAAACATGCCATTACTCTTAGAGGGTCTCTACCCATGGAAACATAGCTGGTTGTCCCTCTGAGTACACTAGCATCCCAACAAATGTTCTGGCCGTAGGTGACCAGATGCATGTACCAACAGATTCGTGTTCCCACAGATCCGTGTACCAAGCTGCACTAAGAGAATCAGTCTGGTAACCTAAAATAATGTGAATGTTTTCCAACTGATAAACACTTAAGCCGAATTAAATTTAAAGGAGTTTAATTGAGCAACGAATGACTGGGGGCAAATTGGGCAGCCCACAGAATCACAGCAGATTCACAGAGACTCCACGGGTGCCTCATGGTCAGAACAAATTTATAGACAAAAAAGGTAAAGTGACATACAGGAATTGGAAGTTTGATACAGAAACAGTGGGATTGGTTACAGCTCAGTGTTTGCCTTATTTGAATGCGTTTTGAACATTCAGCAGTCTGTGAGTGGTTGAAGTATGGCCACTGGGATTGGCCAGCACTCAGCCATTGTTACAGGTGCATACTATTTAGGATTTCAATTTTGTCTTGACTGGTAAGCTAGATTACAGTTCACCCACAAGGACTCAAATATAGAAGTAAGGAGTCCTTCTTAGGCCATATTTAGTATGTTTTAACACAACCTTTGTATCTCTTGAACGTTAATTGAAATCTAATGTATAACTTGTCACAACATTTCTAGAAAAGGATGTTTCCTCCTACTTCCCTCAAACCCACAATGGCTTTCTCCAAAACCCACTAAATTCTGACCCCAGTATCGCTTCTCTGACTGTCTTCCCCAGAATGTCTGTCTTCCTTTTGTTTCCTCTCTACCCATTCCCCAGCTTGCTCTCAACAAGACACAGAGAGCAGTCTAGAGAGGAAAACATACTTTCTCTGAGGGGTAGAGAGAGGGGAAGAGGGAAGGCTGAGAACACCTCTTGTCAGTTTCTGCCCTGTCACAACTGCAAAAGCTAAAAGCCCTTTAAAAAATAAGTCATTTTGTTAAAATGCCAACACAGAATGTACTTCTAGAAAGGCCCTTTGCTGAGACCAGTTTGTCAGGAAGCTGCTAGGAGAGGCAGGGAACACAGGCGAGTGGGTGCAGTGCTAGAGAGGCTGGTGCTGTTTCTCAGTCTGACACATTCGTGGAGAACTGCTGCAGGGAGACCCCGTTCCTGAGTGAAAGGAGATCAAAGGGCAATGTCATCCAGCCCTCCACATGGAAGTTTCTTTCAGTTCCTGGGGTACAGAATTCTCCAGGCACTTGGTGGCAGAACAGAGGGTTCCTTTCTTGCAGATGAACCAGAATTGAGAAACACCAGAATTAAGTACAGACTGCAAAGTATGCAATCTGTAATGCAAAGGCATGGAAAAGGCATGGAAATATTTGAGGAAGGCAGTGCATTTTAGACAATCTGTCTCAAGGAACCTTATTCCCATCTGGAGGATGCTCTATTTGTCATGCAGGGACAAGTGGTAAGTGCGTATTTAAACAGCTGGTGCTTTTAGACTCAACAGCATGGCCTTAGGATCAGGTCTCCAGCCCTGCAAGGGCATGAAACTCCCAACACAACCTGCGTTTCCAGGGAGGATGAGGCTTCCCCACTCAGACAATGAGAAGTCTGTAGTTTTACACCTTTGAGGAAACAGATCCAAGCCTGCTGATAATGTAGGAGCTCAAGAAATATCTAACTTGAAGGTATAGTTGCTGATTCTCACAGGCTAAGAGTGACAGGTCATCATTGTATCATTACAAGCTTGAACAAAGAGCTGCAGGGCTCCAGAGCAGTTGGTGTTCCATACATGCATATTTCTGTTCACCAGGGAGACACTGTAGCTCCATCTGCTTGAAAAAGACGTCAAAATAGCCTGGACTCAGAACTGTCAACACATCTCTGGAGGGTCGTGCTGGGTCTTCCTGTGAAGCATGTCCCATCAGCGGCAAAATGAAGCCAACCCAGCTAGTGATGAAGGTGTCTAGGGTCAGGCTCTACAATTTTTGAAAACTTGATGGATAAATTGCCCTAACATTTAAAAGCTGCAATAATTTCACACGCAGTGGAAACTATTACTCTCTTAGGGTAGACTATTCCAGCATTCCAGGAAAACAGAATTATTCGGTATCTCACCAGGTGGTTGAGGAAACAAGCAGTGTGATATTACAAATAGGACTTTCATAGGGCACAGACTCAGGTGTGCAAAACATGTGACTAAATCACTGGGTGCCTCTGATCCCTCATTTGTAAAGTAGGGATTGTATTCCTATCTCAAAGATTGTGATGAAGATTAAATAAACTAATGCAGGGAGACGTTTTGCCTGGCATATACTTAAGTACTGAATAAAGGTTAGCTATTACCCCCAGTTACACACACTCACACGTGCATGTGCACACACACGTATACATTTAGATTGTATCTCAAGCCCAATCCACCTGGCAGCAGATACTCAGTCCTCCTCAACTGAGAGGAAACTCAAAGTTCTTGTAGCAGCTTAGAAGAACAATAGCATTGGGACTGACACTCACCTTAGGCATCCCTGTCTGCTCTATTACCTATCTTTGTTCCTGGCATCTCTGCCAAGAGTTTCAAAGGACTGTTTTGAAATACTCCACCTGAACGTTACCTAGTTTGTTTGTTTGTTTTTGTTGTTTTTGTTTTTTGGGGTTTGTTGTTGTTGATTTTTGTTTTTTGGGGGGGGTTGTTTGTGTGTTTGTTTGTTTTTGCACTCCTGCGATAAGAGCTCAACTCCAAAGGCAGGGAGTCCTCACTGGTACATGAAGAGCGAGAAAAGAAATTGCATGAGGAAAGCACATCAGCTCATAGTTCAAATTGTCCTGACATAACAGGAACATGACTCTTTTCTAGTACTTTACAATTCCCATGGAGTGTTTGCTTACATCGTCTACAAGCTGGTGACCCTCAAATTGGCATCTCCAGTGTGGACCCCTCCCCTGACCTCCTGATTCCTATGTCTAACTGACATGTGCATTTGGAAGTCAAAAAGGTCCAAGAGAGAGCTTTCAATTCCCCCAGTCTTCTCATCCCAGCAAAAGACACCAACTTTCACCTTGTTGTTCAATCCACAAATCTAGGATTCATCCTTGAGTCGTCTCTTTCCTTTACCCCTCCCATCTAATCTATCAACCGGTCCAGTTGGATCTACCTCCAAAATTTATGCCAAGACTTTCACCTTTTCTCCATCTCTGATGCCACCATCCTATACCCTAGTCCAAGCCACCATCACCTCTAGCCCAGGGTACACAAAAATGGCTTCAGATCTAACCTGCAACTGCCCTCCTACCAGCAATAGTACATTCTCTGTACAATGGGATGCTCTACTGTAAATAGCATCATGTTGCATCCTAGCTGAAAACTCTCTGATAGCTTCCCTTCCCACTAGATCCCTCCAAGACCCTTGTCCTGGCCACCAAAATGTCTCTGACTTTCTGTCAACACACCTTCCCCAACTCCCCACACTCAGCTGTGCTGACCTCCTTTCTGACACACCAAGCTCCTTTCTCCCTGGGGGCCGCTCTACTTGCTGCTCTTATCCCATGCCTTCTCTTGGTGAGCTTGTCCTTTAGGACTCAGCCCGAGTGCATGCCTGTACTGACTACCTAAAACTAAACCAGTCTCTCAAGTCACCTTGCGTCACCTTACCCTGTCTCCGACAACTATTTTTTTAATTTTAAAAAAGTTACTTTTATTTACTAGTCTTTGGCTTTGTAGACATTCTCCTGGGGAAACCGGTCCTAGACTCCAAAGGAAACACGTGAAGATGCTGGTTTGACTCGTTCATGAAAGAGAAAGACACGGTGCTGCCCAGAGCTGCTGAAAATGTTCGTGGGCTGGGCGGGGGGAGCCCTGGTTGGTATTCCCAGTCTGGCAGTGCAGCTATAAACCACCCACATCAGGTTGCCACTGTCAGTTTGGGCTTCCTTGGGGCTGACAGGCATCCAAGTAATTGCTCTAACATATCTGCTCTTTAAAAGAACAGAAAACAAACACACTCTATCCCAGTGAAGGCTGTGTGTGTGTGTGTGTGTGTGTGGCATGATGCCTTCCCTTCCCCATTCTGATGAGCTGATTTTTTTCGTGAACGGAAGAAAGGTAAGTTTTTGACATGATTATTATGAGTTTTCATGTATCGGGGTTGAAAGTCAAGCTTTTTTCACTGTGATGCCACTTCTTATTTCTTTAATCTTTCTCTTCTGTTACTTTCCAGTCATATATAGTGGTATGAATTTGAACATAGGTTGTTAGTTTAAGTTTCGGTGCAAAATTATTAAAGTGTGGGGGCTTGTGTTTGCTTTTAATTTTTCT